CACTGCCAAATGCAACATTCATAGTGAGGACTCCTTCAACTGGAACTGGTTGGTTGTTAAACCCGTAAATGGGACCATCATACCGCTGCAACAGAATGGGATCTAACCCAAGACTCTCAAAACAATGGAAGTACATGATGTCTGGTGCACTCCCTGTGTCAACAAGGACACGCTGTACTTCACAATTGTTGATCGTGACAAAAGTAACTAGAGGATCATTGTGAGGTGTGACAACTGTTTCGAGATCAGCAGATGTGAAAGTGATGGGTTGCTTCTTCCACTCAGCATCGTCAAATTTTCGCTTCTGAGCTTGGTTCTGATGCTTAACCTCTCTGACATACAGCTTTCGCTGCTTAGAGCTCAATCCACCGGCTTCCAGACCTCCTGTAATCATGTGTATTACTCTAGCTGGTGGTGGGAGTGGAGGTGGGGCTTGCTGATATCCCACACCTTGTCTGTTTGGGGGATTGCGGATTGCTTGATGCTGTGACCCTTGCTCTCTGACAAACCTTGGCTGTTCCACTCTCTGGATGTACTCATTCAACATTCCTTTCTGTGCCAGACTTTCCAGTTTGGACCTCAGACTATTACATTGCTCTGTTGTATGACCGTGATCCTGATGAAAATCACAGTACCTAGTATGGTCTCTGGTAGCAGCAGCAGTTCTCATTGGACCCGGACGTCTTAAGTCCATCTTATTCTTAATCTGCATAAAGATTTGTGACCTCGGTAAATTAAAAGGAGTCGAATTAACTGGAGGTTTACCTGCAAGTTGTTGCGGAGGTGATGAGTTCGGCCTTCTGAATCTCGGGGTCGACATCGGACCTCGGTTCTGTGTTGTCTTCATCCGTTTCCTGTTCGGATTCTCATCTCTCCAGTCCGGGTGTTGGCTCTTAGTAGGAGTTAGGTTCTGCGACAAGGCATATTCCTCAGCAGTTATGAATTTCAACGATCTATCATTTACCTCGCTGAAGGTGTTGGCAGGATGTTTGAGCAGACTATCTCGGAACCTCTCATGGCCAAGACCCGAGATCACCGCTGTAATTCCCACAGCTTGGTCGAAAGAATTAACCTCCAGCACTGCATCATTGAATCTGCTCATAAAATTCTTCAAAGACTCTCCGTCCCTCTGCTTAACTCGCATCAGTTCAGAAGTGGGTTTCCTGATCAATCTTTTACTGGAAAACTTTGTGACAAAAGCAGATGCCAGTTCTGTGTAAGAGTTGATTGACCTCGGAAGCAGACTGTAGTACCAGGTTTGAGCATTACCGCGGAGAGTAGAGGGAAAGATTTTGCACATTAACGCGTCAGAGGCGTTCTGGGCCTGCATGCAAGAGTAGAAAGCATGTAGATGATCATCGGGGTCCTTCGTCCCATCATAAGTTTCAAGTTGTGGTATTCTGAAGCCAGTGGGATAGGGTTTCAGTACAATATTGGTGTTGAGAGGGTGGGGTACGGAGTCAACAGCAGGGTATGGAGGTGGGGCACCTCGCTGTTCAACCACTAGCCTTTCTAAGCTATCTAGACGTCGAGTGACATCATCATGAGGAGGTTGCTGAACTGGTGCAATGTGAGATTGGCCTTGAGATTCACTAACAGCGGGAGCACGTTGAACTGGTTCAGGATTTTGTGGTGGGGCTGGGGGTTGTGGTGGGGCGAGATTAAGTAGATTGATGAGTGGATCACCAGGATTGTTCCGAGCTAACAACTGAGCCAGCACTTGCTGAAAGACACCAAACTGCTGTTGCATGGCAGCGAGCTGAGTTGCAACTACGTCTTGGTTAGCAGTAGAGGCTGAGTTGCTAATCGAATTGTGTGGTTGATTTTCGTCTTCTCCTTCTACATGATCAACAGGAGGGAATGTATTTGGGATTGGGGGTGGAGGATGAGGTGGGAGGTTGCTGGGGACCTGACCTCGTCCAAGAGGCTGAGACGAGTTTCCACCTCGGGCTGACCTAGTTTTAACCATGGTAAGAGCAACAAAGGAGCCTTTAGTTCAGATTCCCACAGACGGCGCCAAAATGTAACTGCACCAAACCAGAA